CCATATTTGGACATCCCCTGGACCCTGAAAACAACCTACCATCATAACCACCATCCCCCATTTTTTTCTTATTTTTCTGCTATTTTATTGCTATTTTTCCTTTAGATAAGCACACATTTGCATATTTGGCAATGCGCCCTGGACCCTGAAAACAACCACATTTGGAAGTGCGCTTTTGGACCCTGAAAACAGTGAGCAAGCCGTGGGAATCAGTGAGCACCAAGGCTGGCTCTAGGGAGCTCAGCAAGGCTACCTTCCTGATTAGGAAGGTTGGTCAATTGACTGCTGTGATGCATAGGTAGCTTAGTCAATAGACTATATCTGATACATAATTCTGGATGTACTGGCTGGTGGGTCTTCTTGACTCACCCGATTTAATTCGGTTTTCGCCCACGCTGCCCCACAGCTTTCCTGCTGCCGGACCTTCTCGTGCTCCAGGCGTGGGTTCCGTCGACACGCCTATCCCTCTTTTCCTGTCTCCTACGCCACCTCCTGGCATTTTGCCAACATCGACACCACCTCTGGTACCATCAGCCAACACGCCAGTCATCCTCAAGGTTCCTCATCTCAACATTCCCAAGGTCGAGATGCACACGCGTTGCGAGCGTCCCGCTAAGGCTATTGCCAAAATGAAGAACACTCTCATGCTTGCTCCAAGCGCAAAATCCAAGGCAAGTAAACGCAAGCGGAGCCCCAGTGAAGAAGGAGAGGATGGGCAATCAGACAAGTCGTTCATTGCTAATCCACCTCCTTGTAAACGTGGACGACCCCGTAAGAACTGTACGTTCTCTTTTTATTGTATTTATTCCTTTTTAAAATCTAACTTCGTGTTTTTATTGTAGCGCCAGAGGTCATCAACCCCGACTTGACGTGCGATAAGAAACGCCTCCGTAAGACTTTTTCTTTTTCTCAGTTCATTCCTAGTTACTAACTGAAGACTTTTTCTTTTTCTTAGTTCCTCCTCATCAGTGGTTTATCGGAGTGTTCAATGTCCCTACTGACTTAAAGCATCTTTTCAACAAGCCTTTTGTAAGTAATTTTATTATTTCTTCTCTTTTTATTTGCTCAAGTTCTCTTTGTTCAGATGCCCAAGCCTTGCGTTCAATGCTCCATGGGCAAGAACCGAAAGGAGGAGAAATGCCAGTTTCAAGGCTGGGGTTACCCCTGCGTGCCCTGCAAAACTGCGCATTTCACTTGCTGTGAATGTCGCCCTGCTCGCTTGGCTCCTGAACGTAAGTCTTCAAGTTTATATTTTATAGAGTTTTTCTTTCTAACTTCTTCTATTCTGTAGTTATCGTTTCTCATATCCAAGACGCTGTCTTCGATCAACAGCACATCCACGCGAATCAAGCAATCATTGACTCCTAGTAGATTCCTACTGGAATGATCCCAAATCACAAGGAATTAAGGATTCCTAAGGAATGGGTATAGTGGAGTCCAGTACAAGGAGTCCAGTAGGAGTCCACTAGGAATTTCCGAGTACAAGGAGTCCAGTAAATCCAGTAGTTTGTCACTATTATTGTTATTATATAATAAATAAAAAAGCACAAGTTGCATGGATTGAACACTCAACCTCATGGACACACCAACATTTTACGGAGTGAGCACTTTACCACTTGTACCACGTAGGCATTATTATACAGGTATATTTTATGCTCTACATACCAACCGTAAGGCTAGCTTCCTAGAAAGGATGCCGGCAAATTCCGCAAGTGGGAATTTGCCCAAACCCTCGACCTAGATCCTTCCACGTGACCACCACCCATCAACGAGGCTTCGACAACCACCACCATCCAACCACTGCCCTCGCCATCTGTCGACAAACACCCCGCCCGTCAACACACCGGAAAAGGGCACCCAGGTACGACGTGCATCATCCCACCAGCCACGTCACCGCCCGCTCACACCGTTTAGCCAACCAACAGCCCACGTACGAACACGAACGCC